ACCATGCACAAGAGGTCTTTCCTGAACATTCTACTTTTCATAGATGGCATAATTCTTCTAGGTTGCCAAGTTAGAGATACTGGTCACCTCCGGCCATTACAGTTCTTTACCCAAACAGTTATCCAGTCCTGTTCAGTTTCTAGAATATTTCTTGAATATATTCCTTCCCCTTCATTCTTTTTTGCTATCACACTGTGCCTGGATTACTTCCCCCGCCCCCCAAATCTCTATCTTGGCCTTCTCTGACATAAAAATGCATTCTTCTACATCTTTGTCATGTAGCTGTCCCCATGCAAGAACTCAGACAGCTCACTACCACTCCATCATGTCAAATATGAACTCCTCTGCTTGACTGTCAAAGAGCTAATATTTGGTGTCTACTTATCTAACCTTATCTTCCACTGCTTTTGAAAAATATCTGTGTTCTCAAAATATTTTGCTCACACTTCTATTAAAGGCCTTTTCACATTATGTTGTCTACATGTCTCCTCTGTAAGCCAAGATTCTAGAGCTTAATCCCCATAGGAATCAGAATAGAGCTCAGTACCCAGTAGGTATTTATAGAGGATTGTTGAATAAGTAAATTGTTACTCAGGATAAGATCAGACAGGAAGTTATTAAAGTAAATTAGCCATAATGTGACAGCAAAAGGACTGCAGAAGTCTCCCTCTTACAAGTTGTTTTAACACCTTGTACTTCAGTTTCGTGACACTTACTTCAACTCATCTAACTGTACATTTGTTTAATGCCTGCTTCCTCATTCTACTGTTAAGGACCAGGTGGAAGACTCAGTGGCTTATTCACTGCTGTAACTCAGCAGTCTGGCCTAAGGGAGTTCAAGGAATGTGTAATGGACATCAGTTGAATTAATGTATTAGAATCTCCCTTTAATTGAAGCTGGAGTCCTTACTGGTCCCTATATCCCCATTTACCACAAACATTCCTTCTTCCTTTCACCTGTAATACTGTTCTCTACTACACAAATCTTTAAAGCCTAACCTAAAATCTCACTTGCTTTTAGAAAACTCTCCTATTCTAACAGACCCTTTATCTAACTCTGATAATTTATCCCTGACCTCTTCTCACATCTATATTCTACAGAAAACCAATGATCTCTTAGTGAGATCATTATTACCTTATCCTTTAATTGCTTCCTGTATTAAAAAAATATATTTTCTCTATAAGAACTGGCCCCCTCTGGATACAAACAATAAACTTCTCTTATATCTTCCAATACCTGTACAATATGAAGCATATAGCTGACCCTCAATAACTACTCACTGGTTTTATGTGGGGAAATGAGGCCAAGACCCAGCTTTATCAGAAAAACCATTCCTCCAGCCTATTCTTTGTTGTTGTTTTAATTAAATCTTTATTGTTGAAAGGATTGCATATGTCTCTTTTTTTTCCCCATTGACCCCTTCTAACCCACCTTCACTCCCACCCCCTAACACCTTATTCTTTGTATGTGATCTTAAACAGAGCATTCAGGATTATTTAGAGAGTAACATGTCTGTACCTTAATTTGTAGTCAATATGTCCTTAAGCAGAGAATATGATATACTAGTAAAAATAAAATTATATTTTAAACTTAGGAGCAGGTTATTAACAGGATAAATCCAACTTTGAATCATTTTTCTTAAAGCAAATGATTTCTACACCAAATCTTCATTTATCACATAATAAAATAACATTTTATTCTCTCAGGACTGCTTATCATAAAGAGAACAGGACTTGGGAAAGATAAGGGACTCTGAGGATAAAACATCTGGAGGAAATTCTCATTCTGGCTAAACTGAGAGTGTCACGTGTTCTCCTCATTCTTAGCCTCATATCATTGCTCAGAGCTGGCTTGTAAAGGATATTTGTTTCCCAAATTATTAAGGCAATAAAAATAGAAAACAGGAGAAGACATATTTGGCATTAATTCTTAAATTCATTCATTCATTTACTCATCCAATAATATTTAGTGAGCATCAGTCTTATACCTCATATTATGCCAGGCATGTGGAAGACTGAAAGATGAATTAGAAAAGTTTATTCAGATCACAAAAAGAAAATAATATAAGACAGACAGTGCTTAAGTGTCTTAATTAAAGAACAAATAAAATGCTGTACAAAGAGGAAGAACATTCTTTTATTCTGGGAGAGTTAGGAAAGTTTCTTAGAATTAGTTGCATCGAGATGGACCTTAAAATATGGGTATGGCTTAGACATGCAGAGATGTGAAGAATGGGCATAAATGGTCAAATAAAGGGATGAGCAAAGGCCCACTGGAGTTAACGTTCTGCTTGGCAAAGGTACTGTGGAGCAGAAACAGGAAATAAGGTTGGGCCAGATGTAGAGGGGCTTGAGAACCAAGCCAAGGAGTGTGTCTTCACCTTTGTGAATAGAGCAGCAATTCTCAAATTTTTATGTGCACACAAATCACCTGGGGATCTTGTTATAGTAGATCTGGGGTGGGACCTGGGATTCTATATTTCCAACATCCTAAGTGGTGCTGATATTGGAAGACCAAACCTTGAATGTATAGATACATAGACAGTGGGGAGCCACTGCACAGAGAAACTGCCTGATCTCCAGTGTGTTCCAGGAAAACTAAATCTGAAAACAGTGGGTCAGGCAGATTGGAAAGGAGAGAAACTATAGACTGTGGTCTTCAGCGCTGGTCGTCCATTAGATCAGCTGGGAAGCTTACACCAAGGCCCTCCTTCCAGAGATTCTTATTTAATTGGTCTGGAGTGGGGCCCAGATTTCAGCATTTTTAAAAGTTCTCCAGGGAATTCTAATGTGCAGTTGGGGCTGAGAACCTTTACTATAGATGATACAGTGAATATTGCAATCGCTCAGGCAAAGATGATGATTTAAACTAGGGCAATGGCAGTGAGGACAGAGTGGAGGGGTCAGTGGTATAAATGTAGAAGAAATAGACTTTAGCAACTATCTGGGCAGCAATATATCGGGTCTAGTAATAATTAATGTCGTTTTTAAACATTCGTTTAAAATCTTGCTTGGCGTTGACTTGTATTGACATAACCTTCAAACACGTGGTATCTACAGAACGTGTGAAGTGCAATTAACAAGTTTTGCTTGAAAAAGTTTGTGTTTGGTTTGGTTTTTGTTGCAAAACTAGGGCTAAAGAAGATGGCGGATGAAGAGCATATTCGGCACTGCATGCTTTACGAGTTCCAATTAGGAAGAAAAGCAAGTGAGGCTGCAAAAAACATCTGTAGTGCTCTTGGTCAAGATGCAGTTAGCGCCAGAAAATGCCAGCGTTGGTTTGAGAAATTTCGCGAGGGAAATTTTTCGTTAGATGACAAGAGTGGTCGAGGCCGTGTGTCCAATTTTGATCAAGAAGCTCTTCAAGCTCTTTTGGTGCAAAATCCTCAAATTACCCAACAAGAGCTTGCGACAACTTTAAATTGTTCACAAAAAACAGTTTCCAATCAATTGAGTGCACTTGTCCAAAAGTTTGGAAAATGGGTTCCTCATGAGTTGACCAACAACAACCATAATCAAAGAGTCACAATTTGCAGTTCGCTCCTATCTCGTCAAAACCGTTTGCCGTTTTTAGAGCAAATTGTTACTGGAGATGAAGAATGGGTGCTGTATGTTAATTTGAAAAGGCGGCCTCAATGGTTGGACAAAAATGAGGCTCCGCAGCCCACGCCAAAACCTGACTTGCATGCGAAAAAAGTGATGTTGTGTGTTTGGTGGAATTTTAAAGGAATTCTTCATTATGAACTTTTACCATCTACCCAAACCATTACAAGTGCAGTGTATAGTGCCCAATTGGAAAGGTTAGCCCAAGCTTTAAGAGAAAAAGAACCCGCGCTGATTAATCGGAAGGGCGTAATTCTTCACCACGATAATGCACGACCGCATACTGCAAGAATCACTGCTGAAAAACTGCGCCAGTTGGAATAGGAAGTCCCCCCTCAACCTGCATATTCTCCTGATATTGCCCCTTCCGATTACCATTTGTTTCGTTCTTTGCAAAACTTGCTTCTTGGGAAAAAATTTAATAATGAAGAATGCCTCAAAAATGCATTGACCGAATTTTTTGCATCAAAATCACAAGAATTTTACAACAGAGGGATTAAAATGCTTCCTGAGCGTTGGGCACAAGAAGTAGAAAACAACGGCAACTATATTGTTGATTAAATTTTGTTGTATTGTTTAAATAAATTCGATTTAAAAAAAGGTATTAGAAAACGACATTAATTATTACTAGACCTAATAGAAGTATGGCTGCAACATCATTCATTTCTTCTCGTTAAAGACAGTTTAATGAAATGGTTAAGAGTACAGGCTCTAGAACCAGATATGCTGGGTTTAACTTCCAGCTCTATTTGTTAGGGTGTGTGTGTGTGTGTGTGTGTGTGTGTATACAATGGGCACGTTCCTTACCCTTTTTATGACTTAATTTTTTCTTCTATAAATTGGGGATATAACAAAAACCTGCATATGGAGTTGTTGTGGAGATTAAGTGCATTAACATATATGCAAAGCCTTTAGAACCATGCTTGGCACATAGGAAGAGCTTTGAAAATGTGTGTTGTTATTATTAGCAATAGAGGCCTGATGCACAAAATTCATTCAAGAGTAGGCCTTTCTTCCCCTGCCTGCCAGAACCAGCTTCCCTCTGGCACCCGGGACTCGGGCTTCCCTCTGGCTGCCACCTGAGACCCAGGCTTTCCTCTGGCCACCAGTAGGCCCCTGGGCTTCCCTCGAAGCCCCAGCTTCATCCAGAAAGTCGCCCGGAAGGATGTCCAATCTAATTAGCATATTATGCTTTTATTATTATAGATGGTTCATTCTGATCTCTCCAGGATGTTGAGCTGCATGTAAGGCTGATCTGGAAGAGGAAAAGTCCTTGAAGGCTCTCAACCCTCAGCCAATTTGAAGTCATAGGATTACCTGTTTCATAAAACCTTGCCTCCCTCCATCCCAGACCCCATTCCCAAGGTCTCTAAAAGTAACAGCCAAGGAGTTCCTACTTGAATTGCTGGTCCTTGGTGCTGCGTGTCTTGGCCAGGAAGCGCTCTGCCAGCTTTTCCAGGTTGCGGGAGTAGTCCATCTCAATCTCAGCCTTCTTCCGGAAGAAGTCCTGGAGGTCCTGCAACAGCTGCACCCGGAGCTCACACTGCTGGTCCAGGCATTTCATCTGCTCTGTGAGCTGAGCGCGGATCTCTGCAACAACAAAAGACAAGATAATCATATAGAGATCCCTAAAGGGAACCATACAGGCCAACATTTACCCCTTCCTTGTACTTGATACCTGTCCTGGGAGGTTTGGGGGTGAGGAGGAGAATGAGGAGGAGGAGGAGGAGGAGGAGGAGGAGGAGGAGGAGGAGGAGGAGGAGGAGGAGGAAGAGGAGACTATTGGAAAACACTGGAACCAAAAACCTGCTGAATCATTTAAGAGAACATGATTATTAGATATAATGATATTCACAGCTACCATTTATTAAGCAATTCACTGTGTTTCTGGCAATGCCAGAATTTGGGCTCTCTTCTGGCAAAAAGCCTAATGAATTTTCTCCCAACCATTCTGTTGGGTAGGTACTACTTTCACCCCCATTTTAAGATGAGAAAACTGATTCTTAAAGGAGTCAAGTGATTAGATTCAAACCCAGACAAATTGACTTTAGAGCCCAAGTTCCTACTTGTTATACTTTTCCTGCATCTTTGTGAATTAGAGTGAGAGATCAGGATATTTTAATAGAGATAGAAAGGGCCCTGCCCAAGGTCAAATAGTGGCAATCAAGAATGAAACAAGCACCAGGTCTTCTAGGCAAGTAAACCATCTCCTGTCAAACAGATGCCATAGTTTCCAATATCACAGAATGTAAATCAGCCTTCAAGAAGTTGATATTTTTCATCAACAAATATCACTCATATATCTGTTGTTTCACCCCCACTGATGCTCAGAACTCCTGCTTCATCAAAGCTAGAAATATTCTGGGTAAGCTCCAGCTTGGCAGATTTCTGCCTGGCCAGACTCCTCGTACAGGGCTAACAAACACCCTCTCTGGAACTGCAGCAATGATTGCTCCAGCTGCAACGAGATCTGCCTCAAATGCAATACTGCATTTGTTACTGACAGGAGACCTGGCACCCAAAGGAAGCAGCTTGCCAAAACAAGACTGCTTGTCAGCTCAGAGAAGGCCTGCAGTGCGGATCCTGCTGAAGTTATGTCCCAATCCCCATCTGAGTAAATAACAATGGAGCCATTTCTTTCATCCCTTTGTCCTCCAAGCCTGCTCAGCTCAGTGCATTAGGATGTTACAGTCACCCCAACCCCAGGAAAAAAAAGAAGAGTACCCATATTACTATGTCTTTTCTTATGCATGCCCCAAAAAATCATTTCCAGATAGTAGAGCTTTAACAATGTTTTCTGTCTATGCTGTGTAATGCACGGAGCAGGAGGATCTACAGTTTTCATCTGAGCTGTGGATAAATCAGAGGCAAATCTAGGATCAGGGCTATGATGTTGAAAGGGACACCAAGCACTCCTTTAATGAAGCAATAAGGAATGGGTAAATGGTGCATTTAGCTTTCCCTAAAGTAGGTAGAGGTTCATAACCTATCCCCAGCTTCATTTTGTTACTCTTTTCATAGATACTAGGATGTAGCAAAAGTATCTGATCCTTTATGGGTCATCTTAGGTGATCTGCAAGTGCCATTCTCACCTTCTTCGTCCATACGCCTCCCCCTTGCCAACCAGGTCTGCTGTAACCTCACCTGAACTGAAACTGAGCACCGTAGTATTGTTTCAGGCAGACAGAAAGCTGTGCAGAAAAGCTACGTACCTCATCACTCATCAAAGCTCTCTTGTTCTGTGTTTTTATGGGAGTCTGATTACAAGAGTGTTGAGGGGGAGGATTTGCAGAGGGCATGTCGGGTATACGGATCTTGCCAGAGATTTCTGGGCCTCTTTTTTTTTTTTTTTTTTTTTTTTTAGAAACTGCTTTTTAAAATATATATTTAAGATTAACATTTATTTACTTATTTTGTTAATTCTCACCCGAGGATATTTTTCCATTGATTTTTAGAGAGAGTGGAAGGAAGGGGGTGAGACACAGAGAGAGAAACATCAGTGTAAGAAAGACACAGCCATTGGTTGCCTTCCACATAGGCCCCGACTAGGGCTGAAATCGAGCTTGCAACCAAGGTACATGAAATTGAATCTGGGACCCTTCAATCTGAAGGCTGATGCTCTATCCACTAAGTCAAACCAGCTAGGGAAATTTCTGGGCCTCTCAAAGGCAACAGCCCTTTCCTACAGGCACCTGTACCCTTCCGTCTATTGACAGATAGAGGTCATAGTCATTGGGTGGGCAGAAAGGACATTTATTGATATTATTTACACCTGATCCACTGAATAAGAATCAGGGTGAAAAGGTATCTTTTCGGATGAAAAGGTACCCCATCAGTACCAGATGTGGAAGAAGATATGGATGGGCAATGGGGCTATCAGGGCCTTTGGAGTCACCTGTAATTCATTTAAGACTTTGCACCAATAACCTCACTAACCATGGAAGTGGAAAGAAACATGGTAGCATGGAGATGCCCACCCTCCATCACAGAAAGAGGGTGCTAGGCAAATTCCCTTGATATCCATGAAATTCCAGAGATAGGCCACTCTAAGGCTGTCCTATGCAAGGAACCAGCACTTCAGAGGCCTCTGAGATTTGTGAGTCAATTTAAGAAGCACCCTCCCTCCTCCACCCAAGCACATACAACCAGCACAGCATTCTACCCTGACTTTCTCAGGTGCCTCAAAAAGTGAGCAGCAAAACCCAAAGTGATCCTACTCTAGACCAGCGGACACCAACCAATGGTCCGCGGACCCCTGGTGGTCCATGAGGTCCAAAAGGTTGGCAACCACTGCGTCTAGTCCAAACATGGCTCCAAGGGCCTAAATCGCCCATCAGCTAGAAGATGGAGAAGGGGACATTCTAAGGGTAGGAGCCAAAAGTGACCCATCAGGCATCCTTCCAGGCCCAGAAAGGGAATATGTAGGTATTTACTGAGCACCCTTTATATAGATCATCTCATTTAATCTTCACAACTAGGCCCAACATTATCCCCAATTATCCTCATTGCACAGATGAGAAAACTGAAGTGAGACTCGAAGTAATTTACAAAAAGGTCATACAATTAGGTGCAGGTGGGGCTGAAGCTAAATTAAGGTTTGTCTGACTTGTCAAAAAAATTAATCCTGGGGCAAGGAGACAAAAAGAACAGAATGTGGGTCTAAGTAGCTGAAAGTATTTCTGTGTAAATCACGGTTTCCATAGCTCTGACCCTGGAACATTCCCTTCCCTGCTTTCCAGTTGACAGGTGATCCAGTCAGTGACAGAAGTGGAAGAGGAGTGGAGGGCAAAGGGGCTATGCAGAGTCAAGTATGCACTAGCCCACTGACTCACTAACTGAGCCGCATTTGTTTTGGTCAGTCCCCAACAGGGCTAGATCCTTCCCTGCTTCCTGAATCTACTCAGGGGCAGCTTTGGAGGAAGCGTTTTGCTCATCCTGTGAGCTCATCCTGAGGTCTGCCAGAAAGTCCAGGAGGTAGAGAAAGTGAGAAAGCAATATCCCCATCCCTGAACCAGGAAAAGAAGAATGCATCTCTGCTAACAGATACCACCTGCCACTGGAGTAGATCTGCGATTTGACACCACTGAGCACCTCCCTCCCCCACAACCTGCCTAGAAAGAGAGACCTTTCTGGCTTCCATTCTCAGAGCACCCACCCAGACATTTAGGGAGACTACAACCACCCCCATCTCCAGGCTGCAGCCCCAAGACAGAATAGCTGCTCTGTCCAAGGTAAAATGTGCTGCTTCAGGTTTTTGCTGCCACTGCAAAGACAAACAATGGTACCCAAGAAGGCAGCTGTGCCAGCCCCAGGCATCTGGCCATGCACATAAGGGGCAGGAAACAATAGGCCACTGAATGCCAGCATGCCTGGGCCATGTGCCCAGACTGGAGGCCTCTCTGCACCCTGACCTACCCACAAACTATAAGGGCAGAAAGAAGAAAGGGGCAATTTATAAAAACATGAAGGAATTCCCCACAGTTCCATCGTGTGCTCAGGCAAGTATGCACATACACACGTGTGTACACTCAAAGACACGCACACTCACACCACCCACACTATGTTCCACTATAACAACTCAAAAAGGCTTTACAAATCTAGTAATAGCTAGATGAGAGTTCCTGGGAGGGGTGATGGGGTCCTTACCAGTTCTGTCCTAGAACTACATGGGAAGAAGTCAAGCTATTGGTTTCCAGAAGCAGCTATATCTCAGGGCATGAATGAATCCAAAGTACAAAGGTCACCATCAGCTACCTGGAGTGATCAGGGACCTGCCACACCAACAATGTAGACACTAAATTATAAAACATGACAAAAATGGCCTCCCCTGGGCACCTAATACAGCCCATTTATTCAGCAACTCTTTGCTGAGCCCCTACTGTATAGCAATCCCTGTGTTAGATGATGGTGATAGAAAACAAAGCAGGCCCACACCCTGTCCTAACGAAGCATGGCTTGACAAAGAAAAGAAAAGAAAGCAAAGACAGTCTTACTGCTTCTGTTCTGAATATTCTTTATTATAACACAACCATGGTACTAATTTCCAACCTGAAGACCAAAGATTTATAAATCAACAGCAGACAAAAGAAATCAAGCAACAACCCTAATAAAAATTCAATGTCCTGACTTTTTTCCATTGCATTTTTTAAAAAAGTGACCCTTGAATAAAAACTTGCAAACAACTTTTCTGAGTTTCAGAGCTGACCTTTGGTTGATATTTCATCCAAGATTCAAGTCAAAATTTAACTCACTGTTCTGGAATTAGACAGTGGTGGTAGTTACACAACCTTCTGAATATACTTTTTTAATCTCACTGAATTTTTTTGATATGTGAATTATATTTTATTAAAAATTCTCAACCTAACCAAATAGCATGTTCTGTGGAGCACTGTACTTCCAGCTAACAGGCACCAAAAGGAGGAAGGAATTCTCGGTTTCCATTTCTCCATTTGTATGAGTTGATTCTCAGTTCTGCATTGAATATTCTTAAAGCTGCTCCTCTGGACAGCAAGCTTGGCCATAACATTGAAATCCATTGGTAGATCACCATTCCATCATTTCCAAAATATGTCAAATATGTCTAATCAAAA